AGTTACTTTTTGAAAAATTTTGAGTTTGGCTTCTATTGTTACCTTGTGTTTTTTACAGTGCTTAGATGATGAAGGCAAAAGATTTATTTCTTCTCAGCCTGCTAGAAGGAAATAACACTTATCAGTTATCAGCAGTAAACGTGATGTCATTTTTCAACACAATAGTCCATAAAACAGGAAAAGACGACATTAGCATCAATTAGTTGGCATTCATGAGGTACCTAGTTTGTACTTAACAATGAGGGGGTCTTCCTGGTGGTGGCACAGAGATTAAAGTTTCAGTGCTATCAAGCTCTCACCAGCCACTCAATGTGAGTTCATTTGATTCCCCCACCAGGGAATTGACCCACGTGTTGCAACAGACCTCCCCTGCCTCACCCACTGCTCCCCTCAGCAGTGTATTTCAGTAGATCTGCCCATCCTGTCCCCAGTTCTCTCTCTGGTGAATCCTCTTCACCCCCACCCCTCCTCTGGTCTACAACCCCAGTTCTTTATTTTTTATGCATAAACAAATCTCTTAAGAATGCTTATAAAGGGTAGGACCATTGGCAACTATGAGGTCTCACTATTTTGCTGACTTGTACATGGTGCTATTCCCATTGCTGCATGGCTCTGTGATGGTCCTAAGTATTTAAAAAGTATTCTGGAAATTAAAGTCTACTAGGATGGTGCTAAAAAAAAACTATCAAATGTAGCTCACTAGGACCATCATTGGAATATTATTAGGTTTATGGACTTGTTATAACAACATAAAGAATCTGGCACCCCTTCTAAGAGGGATAGTAAGGAAAGACTGAAAAGATTAGGTTTAAGATGATTCTAAAAGGAGCAGGGGGAGTAGATCATCTCTAAATTGATTATCACAGTTATCAGCTTATAACAGGGTGGTCTCCAGGAAAAGGGGGTTCCAGGTTCCCTGCCCCAACCAACAGAGGGTGGAGCTGAGCAGGGAGGAGAAGAAGCTGGAGAGGAGACTGACGAAAGAAGAAGGATGAGGAGCCAGAAGGAGACCTGGAGGAGTCGCGTGGAGCAGAGACACATGTAGAGAAGCTGAGTTTCCTTCTTGGTCCTGGACTGGGTGAAACAGACGTGGGTAAGAGACCGGAGACTATGGCAGCTTTATCTTGATTTTGATTTTGCTCTGTTCCTCCCAGACTTGTCTGTTTCTGATCCTTCTTTATGGTTCCCCACCAGAAGATAATTTCGACTTATGGCAGGCATTTGGGTCTTGCCTGGGCTAACCCCATTTGGGTGGAATTTTATCCATGAGTTGATGGCTAACTTGGGGTGTTTGATTTGAAAACTATATTCTTTGTCTTTTCTGTATTGAACACTAATTGTATTAAAATTCCTTTCAGGGCCCTCCCTGGTGGTGCAGCGGGTTAAAGCACTGCACTAAGAAGATTAAGCCACTTCTGCTGCATGAGTTTGATCCCCGCCTGCCCTGGAGGAGATCCACATGGCTAGGCAGACCTCTCCTGACCTACCCGCTGCTCCCCTCAGCAATGTACTTTGATCATCTGCCTGTTCTGCTCCCACTCTGTCTCTGGTGAATCCTCTCACCCTCTGCATCTCTGGCCTGTACCCCAGTTCTGTAGGAATAAATAAATAAATCTTTAAAAAAATTTTAAAAAAATCCTGTCAGTGAGAGGTCTATATATTTTGATGTGGCTGATGGCAGAACCTACTTAGAGCCGACAGGTTTGGGGTTCTGGGGTGTCCCTTACCCTGCCCTGTAACAGATTTCACCTCCTTCTTCAGTCTTCTCTCTAGCTTCTCTCCCTGCTCAGTTCCAGCCTCCTCTGAATGGGGCAGGAAACCTGGAACCTCTTTTCCTAGAGACCACCCTGTTACAAGTTCAGGAAATGGGAGGACAAAGCAGGCCTGGGAAGTCTACTAAGAAGGCAGCAATAAAAAATGAAATGAATCTTCACAATAGCCAAAAGGTAGAAGCAACCCAAGTGTTGGATGATTGATGAATAAACAAGATATGCTATGTGCATATCGTAGAATATTATTCAGTCTTTAAAAAGAAAGAAATTCTGATGCATGCTACAACATGGATGAATTTTGAGGACATTATGTTTAGTAAAATATGCCAGAAAGAAAAGGGCAAATATTGTATCATTCCACCAACATGAGGCACTTAATATAGTCAAATTCATGGAGACAGAAAACAATGGTGGCCTCTGGGAACTGGGAGATGGGGTAGGTGAAATGAGGGGTACAGTGTTTAATGGACTGGAATAGAATTTTCAGTTTGGGATGATGAAAATTCTGATGATGGATGGGGGTGATGGTTGAAAACAAAGTGAATAGAGAATGCCACTGAGCTGTACATTTAAAAATGATGAAATGGGATATTTTGTTATGTCAATTTTTCCACTATTAAAAAAAGTGAAAAATAAAAAGCAGGTGAAAGAGAAGTAGTGACCTCTCAGTAAAGGAAGGGCTTGTAAGGCTTAGCCATGTCTGGTGGGGATCCCTGTGGCAGATCCTGGGGGAAACATTACAGTTTGACCCCCAGTGGTGGAAGCTGAGTCACTCTCCTGAGTCTTTATCCCCTGAAGTACACACAAACTACAAAGCTAAGATAAATGTAGAATGTTCTGCCTGAAAACCCTTTATCTAAATTCCCAGGGTTGGAAATGGAGGCAGCTTCTCTGGGAAGCAGTGACCTGAATGTTTCAGATTCCGAAGCATTCTCCTTGAAAGGGCTTCAAAGAGCAACTTTCCATAGGCTTTCACTTTGGAGAAGGAGGTTTGCTGGCACCATGCCCTTCATGTTAATAAAAGCAGTTCTTAAGACTCACAGCAGACTGGAAAAATAAAGGTTCTGATCAGAGTGAAGTAACTTTTAGATAAATTTGCATAAAGGAAGGAAAAGGGAAAACAATGACTGTGTTCACTGTGAGATGCTGCTTTGGGGTCTCAGGGCTGCTTGTTCCTGTATTGGCCTCTGTTTTTTTAATACACAAGGTTTGGATTTGTGAACTGGTGCATTATTGAGCTACTTTGGGATATTCAGCATTAAATCAATCTAGTGATAAGTGCACACAAAACCAATAAACTGTAATCTCTTCCTTATGATGCCATTCACCTAAAATGTGTTTACTGTTATAATGAAAATATATTACTATGTCTCAATAAAAACTGAAGTTTCTGAACATGTCCACACATAATTGTAAACTCTCAATATTTAAAAAGTATGAGCACAAATCTTCAGGAAATTGGTTCTTAAAGGTCGATAGTATTTTGTAAGTTATAATTTGTAATAAAACTGCTTAATGTTCACCTACTAACTCTGGCAACAAAATGTATTCTTTGAAAACAAAAAAAATCTGAGGGTGATAGAAAGAGTTGATAAAATTTCTATACTTTCTAACTTTTTCTGAGCCAAGTTTAAAAAAACGAATGCAATTGATTATCCCCAAACAACAACAAAACAGGGTTTATTTGGACACAAAATAGCAGAAGGGAGGGCATATTGAAGGGTGCTTCATAGAGAGATGCACCTATGTGTCCCTGAATCGACCCACGAAACACCAACCCACGAAACAACCCCTAGGCCACCTCCCCCTCAGTTCCAAGGGAGGTAGAATTAGCATCATTTCTCTTGGGAGATGCAAGGCATGTTGAATCCTGTAGTTTGATTTATGCATGCGTGGGCCTCAAAATCTCATTTAAATAGGGTTTATATATGTTAATGTTCACAGAACAGACTAAAAAAGAAATGTAGACTGTTTCCTGTAAAGTAGGTTACAAATGAATAAAAAACTAGAGCAAAACAATGTGACTCATCTGGCAATGCAGTTACAATACAGACACACTATGAACAATAAAAATCTTTATCATGCATTTATAATTGGCACACCTGACTGGATAGCCCTTCAAAGAGACTTTCTCTGCAGCCCTGGCAGGTGGTGAGATGAGGACCAAAGGGGTACAAGATGAAACCCAGCACACTATGCTACCCTTCTACCTCTTAATTGAACAATAAAGTTTCTCTCTCACAAAACCAGCTCACCGGGTATGAATTATGATAAACACAAACTCTGTAATTAGTGTCAATAGGGCTTTCAGGAAATTATGCAGAGGATATATTTCCAAGCTGAGACTATATTTGTGACAAAGTTGCACACAAATTTGCTACTGAATAGCTAAGATTTAAGAGACTCACATCCACAGTCCAGGGCCCAAAGGTCTTTTTGGTTGCCATCTCCACTGGAGACAATGAAAACCAGGGCTGTCACTGAAAGAGATATTTTATCCAAACCCAAATAGATGACAGAGCAAGCAGAGGTATTTTCACGGCATTTTAACTCCTTGCCATACAAGGACCAGATTGAACCTTAGGAACTTGTAAAGGTGGAGTAGAAAGTCATTACCATTGACACCAACCAGCTGAACTGAAACCCCGACCGGGTCCCTGCACAGTGAAGGATGACTCTGCCAGTGTAGGAACTTTGATTCAACAGCTAATGCTTGCGAAGTGAAATGTCAGAGAGGAGCTCATCTAATGATTTCTGAAGGATTTCATGAGAGTAGAATGGGCCTTCTGGACAAAAAAAAAAAAAAAAAAAAAAAAAAAGCCACACCACGCTGCAGTCTCGCATAGATGCGTAAATATAATGGAGTGGAGAGGCAGGTAAAGGTGAAAGGAGGGAGGAAGAAAGGGGGAACAGGAGATAAAGATAGAGCAGAAAAAAATCATACAAAAATAAGCAGGTCTTTTTGGGCCAAACAAAGCGATTTCTTTCTGGGCCGTCTGCGACTAATCCAAATCCAGGAAATAACTCTTCGTAACGAATAAACTTAGTTCTGAAAAACATCCGCGTCCAGTAACACCCGAAAACACGTGGCGGGGGTGGGGAAATGGGTGGCCACAGCAGGCAAGACTCCAAGTCCCATGGTCCTATTCGGTGGCTAAGCCGGGCTGTCGAGGGCGAGCCGGCGTATTGGATGCTGGGACTTGTGGTTTTAACTCCTGCGCCTCCCCGAGGGTTTGCGACGTTTAGCGACCATCGCGCCTGCGCCAGCGCCGGCAGAAAAGCTAGGGCCGTGGCGGCTCGTGCCGGGTGATGCTAGGCGGCTCCCTGGGCTCCCGGCTGTTGCGAGGTGTGGGTGGGAGTCACGGCCAGTTCGGGGTGCGGGGTGTCCGCGAAGGTGGCGCAGCCATGGCGGCAGGGGAGAGCATGGCTCAGCGGATGGTCTGGGTGGACCTGGAGGTGAGTGAGGTCGGCCGGGGGAGAGGGGAGGCGAGTGAGCTTTCGCGCGTGGGACCCGGCGCTGAGCCTGTCCCGGGAGAGCGGCGGCTGTCTGGTCTCAGGTGTGCCAGGTGAGCGCCGCCGGCCTCGGGCGGCGCGGGCCGGTCGGGAGGCTGGAGTCCTGCGGCTGCTGGGGACTGTGGCGGACCGTGGGGTTTCTTTTCAAAAGGGAGGAGTCATCCATATGGCTGCTCACTTCCCAACTCCTCTCCGAGGTTTGGGGACCTCCCTGCCGCGCAGGTTTCTCTGGGCTTAGGGTCACCGGGGTGAGGGTTGGGACCGCGGCTCCGCTAAACCCCACTTCCACAGCCTTGACAGGACCGTAGGTTGTTAGAGCTAGACGGGACTCCCGGAGATGACTCAGCCTTACCCCTCATTCCATAAAAGAGAAAACTGAGGCCCAGGGAGGATTCAACGCATTCAAGGTCATGCTGTTAGCGAGGCCCTGAGCGGGGACTAGAACTCAGTTCTGCTCCCTTTAGGTTTCCCATTCTCACTGCAAGGCCTTTTCCACTTTTGAACCTCAGTTCTCTTACATATGAAATGGGGATAATAGTATTTTCTGTTTCAGAGGATGATGAAGGTTAAGTCGCATAATTGACAGGAAAACTTTGTAAACTCTGCAAAACTGCAGTGACCTGAGTTTTCCAACTCTTTCCAAATCGAATGCTCTCTATCAGTCCTCAGTTTTGCTTGCTTTGCATTTATCCTAGAGGAAGCCAGGTGCCTGATATACAGCAGGCCCTTGGTAAATGTTCATTTCATAATTGTTTAGGTTCTTGAGGGCTTGCCTAAGGAACACTATAAGTTCCGTGCATGAGATATAAACTGACTATGTTTGCGAGAATTCCTGTAAAATAAACTTGAGTAAAGTAGGTCAGGAGGATGGCTTTGTGTTGTCACAGATCCATTTTTTTTTTTTTTATTGCAGATGACAGGATTGGACATTGAGAAGGACCAGATTATTGAGATGGCCTGTCTGATAACTGACTCTGATCTCAACATTTTGGCTGAAGTAGGTGTTGCTATGTAATATAATCAGACTGTCTAGAATATGTTGGAAATTTAAAGATAATTCCCCCCATCTCTTTTTTTTAAAGAAAAAGAAAACTGAAGTCTGTGTAGATTAAGGCCCAAGTAATATGCTAGGTCATGGTAAGGATTGGTATTAGAATCAAAGTAATCCTGTTCATTTATCAGTAATTTATGCCAAACCCAAGAACACAAGTGCTGAACACTTTATTATGTGGTAGGCCCTGTTATGTATTCACTCTTAATCCTCACAATAATCTAAAAGAAGTTACTGTTAGACTCATTTTATAGGAGAGGACATTTTGGCATGGCAATATTGGGTAATTTGCCCAAGGTCTAGTTACTGGAGAAACCCAGGGGTATAGCCCAGGCAGGCTGAATAAAGTGCTCTTAAGCAATAAGGCAGCCAAGTATCGCCCCATCAGGACTGGTGACTCATGCCGAAGTTGACATCTTTACATCATAACCTTCACTTTAACCTGATTCCAGATATCAAGTTTCTGCTTTTGAACCAGTGTGATTCCTCTCAATCCATATTAAGATTTTTGAATTTCTGCCGATGCAAAATCAAGAAAAATCTTGTTGACATATTGGGCATAATTAAGATTATCACATTCTTCTTTTAACTGAAATATTGAACCAAGCAAATGAAATATACCTTTGCCTTTCAGCCACTCACAAAGCATTTAATAAGTGCATCTGATTGGCAGAGGGTGAAATCCCTGGCTTTGAATGGCTGTTTCATATAATCAGCAGTATTCAGAGGCAGAAAGAAACTCTAGGACACAGCAGGGATGTCTGTGGAGAAGGCAGTTTTGTTAAAATGAGTTCCCAGAGGGCACTGTCAGTGTGTTACTGTTGCTGGATAAGTTACTAAACCTTTCCTTAAGACTCCTGCTTACTTTCCTGGCAGGTAGCAAGGGGAGAAGGCACTTAGGGATGAAGCACTGTTTGTGGAGTGCCGGCCACGCCTCCTGGAGCATCTCCTAGTACCCTGGGGGAGAATCATGAGGCTTTGTGTTTTTCATCATAACTAGCTTTTTTGTTTGTTTTTTGATTTTATATAAATAAAGCCCTGATTTTTAACTTTGGCTGTTTTTCCTGCCACTTGGCACTTGCTGGAGATGAATGATGAAGAGAAGTGTCTTTATTTTACCAGCCCTATTTACCTTTGGCTGAAGTCCCTTGAGCTGTTGGTATAATGTGGAAATACAGTTTAATGGACCAGTTTGGTGATAGGAGTTCTGGAGAAAATTGGGGTCTGTATCCCCACAGTTGCAGATGAGTGTAGCATTTGTGAACAGACACAATCAGGTGAGGAGGCGGATGCTGAAAAATGCCAAATGCTGTTGGTGCTTAAGTGTCAGTTCTGTGGAAAATGTGCTTTCCTCTTGGTATACGAGTCATAGGGAAAATGTTTTATGCTGGTTAAAGAACAAACATCCTACTTCAAAAACTTCTCTGCAGGTAGTTTCATGTGCCAAGCTGCCATCTAGAGAAAGTTGTGTAGCCTTCGTTTAATAATAGTTTCTTTTTTGTTCATAGTTTGTTAGAATTGCTTTTCACAGTGAGAGAGCACATTCTTTGCTTCTTTCCAGAGATCACTGTTTCCAATTTTCTTATTTTACCAGTAGTTCCCTGTAGGTTGTCTGTGACGTCAGGAATAGTTTGGTCAGCAATGTAGCTATTTATCTCAGTGAATGCAAACTATTTTTACTGTCTTCATAGTACCAGTACTGTGGATTTATAGTGTACTTTCCTTGTAGACTCTTCCAAGGATTTTCATACCTATAATTCCTCTTCTCCTGTTAACATCCCTGTGAGGGGAGGTAGGGGCAGTTATGGCCGTCATACAGGATGAGACACTGAGCCCAGGGTCACCTGCTTCAATGCCTCAAGTCAGGCTTCTCTCCATTTGCTGGGACTCTTTCCAAGAGACACATTTGGAGGTTCCGTTAAATAGAACTGAGACTCTAAGGGCCATTTTTTTTTCAGATGCCACCAATTCCTTGAACTTTTTGGTAGAAAAATAAGACTAAAATTAAACAGTATAACTTCATACAGAAATATAGGTATATATGTGTGTATATGTATATAAAATAAGCTCTTGCTTTTTGCCCTGTTCTCCAACTCCACCCTGTTCCCCAAAGTTTACATATTTTCTTGGCATTTTGTATGTATTGGTAAATGTATTTTTTCCCCTAAAAAAGTATACTTGAAATTGTGTGTGTATGCGCGCGCGTGTGTGTGTACGTGTGTACTGTTCTGCCACTTGTTTTTTTCTCCCTTGGCCTGTAGACATATTATTAGGATTGGCAAACTTTTTCTAAAAAAGACCAAATACTAGCTATTTTGGGCATAGAGTGCTACGTACCTCTCTGTCACGTGCTAGCTTGTTTTTATAACCTTTTGCAAATGTAAAAATCATTCTCAGCTTGTTGTCAAAAAAGAAAGTCACAACTGGGGCTGTAGCTTGCCACCTGCTGATAGATGTTGGTGTCATTTAGTAACAGGCATATCAGTGTTGAAGGCGTGTGTGTGTGAGTGTGAGGTGTGTGTGTGTATGAGCATGTGTGTGCTTGTGTGCACCTGTGTGCTTTTTTTGCCATCATACACACTGTAGGAATGAAGGAGAACCACTTTTAGAGTGAACAAAGTACCCTCATTTCTTTCTTTGGTAAGTACATTTAATCTTTAAAGCAGCTTAAACTGTACCTCAGAACCCCAGGTTATTCCTGTTGATTCTGGATGACTAATGGCTTTTCCCATCCACAGGGGCCTAACCTGATTATTAAACAGCCAGACGAGTTACTGGACAGCATGTCAGATTGGTGTAAGGAGCATCATGGGAAGGTAACATTACCAAATAACAGGATTGCTGCTTTGGGGATCAGTAACAAGCTTGTTGCTCCCACATCTGAATCCTATACCATGGTTGGATGGTATTTAAACAGGGTTAGAGGAAGATTGCTTGGCGAGCCTGGGAGACTGCTTGCTTGTTTGCCTTTCATCTCTGGGACCTCTCGAGATCATCTTCTCCTGAATGTCCTCTTTTTTCCTCTCCTACATTCAGTCTGTCGCGAACGCAGTGTGGATTGTCAAGTATTGCTCAAGTCAGTCTGGATGAGGGTAGACATCAACTGTCAGAGAAGGGGGAATGCTACTCTCCTCTTAAGAGATGTTTCTTTCCAGAGGTTATATCCTTGGACTTTGAGCACCATCTTTTTTGACCATGTGGAAATGCTATTAACGATCAGGAATCGAGCTTAATTTCACTCGGATTCTTTAAGAAAAATCAGTGCAAAGATGGCACAGAGTTTCAGTGTGAACTTGAGCTCTGTAAATGGTACACCTGTGGTTATATTTGCTCATTTTTAGAAGTGAAGTTTCATTTCTGGATGCCTTTGAAAACTGACTTCATGTGTTTCTGGTGGGGGCTGGGGGTTTTCTCTTGCAGTCTGGTCTAACCAAGGCAGTGAAGGAGAGCACAATGACACTGCAGCAGGCAGAGTATGAATTTCTGTCCTTTGTACGACAGCAGACTCCTCCGGGGCTCTGTCCACTTGCAGGTAAAATCCAGTCCTCTGTATACCTTGTAGATAGTCTTCCATTAGAGTGGTGCAAGAGACTGCAGTTCCAGAAAGATCAGCCAAGACCATCCTGTGTCCTGCTTCCCCTGATTTGGATTATGCATCTTACTTTTGTGTGCAAGTTTTCTTGTGTAATTTCTAGCACCAGTGTTGGGAAAATGCTCTGGAACCCGACATGAGATCTGGGATACACAGACTCACTCAACCAATTGTTTCCCCATATTTTTATAATGGGAAATTTTCAAATGTACAGTCAAGTTGGACTTAGTAACTGTTAACTCTGTGCCTTGTTTGTTTTGCCTGTCTATTTTATTTTTGCTGTTGTTGGACATTCAAAGCAAGTTGCAGGCATGATGACACTTATTCCTTGATAGGTCCACAGGCATTTCCTAAGAAAAAAGGCATTATCTTATGTGACCACATAAGTATCATTATCACATGTAAGACATTTACAAATAATTTTAGTAGCATCCTCTGATAATCTGCTCCACACCCTTCATTGTTGTGAGCCAGGATTCCGTCATGCATTTCATTCGGCTATTGTGACTCCTTAGTCTCTTAATCTGAAATGTCCACTAATCCTTTTTTTCTTTTTTCCCCACTCGTGACATTGACTTTTTAAAGAGAGCAAGCCAGTTCTAAGGCTTTAAGGACTGCCATTGTCAGAGGGAAGTTAATGTTCTGTGGAGGTGTGTTTGTATCTGTACATGTAAACTGTTGTGGTAATTAACAGTTTCCTTAAATATACACGAAACAAATGCTGACATGAAGTCCGAAAGCATACATTGTATATGTTCACCATCCTCCCTCCCCCCTCCCTGGGGTCTATTTTAAAGTTCTCCTTTAAAATTTAGTGTTTTTAATATAAATTACTGTATGGAAACATGAATGACTATGATTTGTTGAAATCGGATTGTAAATAAAGGTTTGTCTACTTATGTGATTCAGTTAAATTTTTAGTGTTAGTTGGTGTGGATTTCATGACACTGGGAGAAGTTTTGCATACCTGGTATGATCTAAACGCATAACAGGGACTTGTACATTCTTCTAAGTATGCGGAATGATACACCTTCTGTCCGTAGAGAGGCCATATACAAATTCATGAGTGAACTGACTGCTCAGAATCTCTACTTGTAACCTAATTAGGTGCTCTCAAACCTGACTTAGAGGTTTTTAGATGCTTTTAGGAATTGTTTGAGTTAAAAAATTTATATCATTTCCATTTCAAATATAGCTGATGAATGTTTATATCCTGTTGTGTACTGTAGAAATGCACAAGTGCGGTGTGCTTCGTGTCTTTCTAGGGAATTCAGTTCATGCAGATAAGAAGTTTCTTGACAAATACATGCCCCAGTTCATGAAACATCTTCATTATAGAATAATTGATGTGAGCACTGTTAAAGAACTGTGCAGGTAAGGGCTTTACTTAGGATCCATTCAATTGCTTTATGTATCATGTTTTGATTGAGAAGTTATAGAAAGTAATTGAACACAGCTGTAGAACTGAGGGTGTCGGTGGGTCGTAACTTCCTCATCCCATTTTTGCTTGGCCAGGACCTTAATTGATTCTGGACTGGTAAGAATTGGGGGGAAACAATGTCAGAAATCTTATATATAAGGTTCATTAATCCAGAACATTTATTTGGGCACCCACTTCTGGGCCAGGTATCAGCCTCTCTGTACTGGGAACTGACAGATGGAAAGCCCTTGTAAGTGGCTTAGAATCTAGTGAGTTGAAAGTTGGGTGAAAAAGATGCCTTAAAAATAAGCTGCATGATGACCTTGGTGATGGAAATGTACATAGCTATGACTGAGCCTGAGGGAAGGAACACCTGCCTTTCAGGGTGAAGGGGGTGGGAAGTCAGAGAAAGCTTTCCCTAACAAGTAGTTTTCAAGTAGAGGTTTAAAGAAGAGTGGAAGCTTTGCAGGTATGTAACTGAGGAACAAGCATTCCAAAGAGGGACAGAGGGAGGAATATAAGGGCAACATGTGTTTAAGGAGTTACAGGTCAAGTTGAGTGCGAGGCAGGAGGTTGGAGAAGGTGGGAAGTGAGGCCGTGTTACGAAGGGCTGTGTACGGTTGTGAGGAGGTTCAAGTTTATCTTGTGGAAGAGGTCAGGTCCTTTAAACATATTTACGTGGAGGAATGAGGGCCACGATGATTTCATTCTCACGAGACAGGGGAAGAGGTTGGGAGATAAGGAATCCAGTCATCTTGCGGAGAAAATAGCTAGAGAAATGGTGGCTGCATGGCAGACAAAGGCCTGGAGATAAAAATATTGGAGAGCATCAGTTGGCATGGCGAGCAGTGCTTCAGTGGAGTGTTGAGGGCAAGGGAGAGGTAGTAAGTGCTTCTCGTGTTCCTGGTTGGGTAGCTGCTGGGTGTCAAAAAAAGAAAGGGGACGTAGGAAGAGCAGAGCTGGTGTCTGAGGGCAGGGAGGCCCCCTGGGTGAGGAGTGGTTTTACACACTTTGCACTGCAAAGATGGATGGGTTCTTAAGTGAAAGCGTCCAGCAGGCCCGTTGGACATCCATGACAGAAACCCAGGAGAGGGCTGGGCTGGCACGGGCCGCTGGGCGCCCACACTGATGAGCTTGACCAGATTAATGCCTAGAGTGAAGCCAGAGGAGGGGGGAAGACAGGGTCCCCGGCAAGGGCCACCTGAGAGCCACCTCCAGATGCCTTTGCCAATGTTCATAAATTACTTGAAGGAGGTAATTATTCCATGTACTTGAGACAGTTTCCTTTGAAAGTTCCATTTTTGCTGTGTAGACGCTGGTATCCAGAAGAATATGAATTTGCACCAAAGAAGGCTGCTTCTCACAGGTAAGTTTGGGACTCAGCAGGCTCTGGGGAATCTGACACACACCTGGCCCCCACACACGCGACACTGGCCTGCTGTCTCTTGACTCTTTCCTTGGGAGGAAAATGAAGGTCAGTTAGCACGAAGCTTTCTGTTGCTGATTATCAGGGATCCTGGGCAGGAGTATGCTACCCTGTCCAGAGATGGGTAGATTTTATACCCCTTGCAGTTTTAAAACCGTTAGGTGACTTGGTTTGTAAGTACAGTGAAACAGTCTGCCATCTCTAGTGCTGAGCAGTATTAATTTCCTTTTCAGAAAAGGTGAAAACTTGGAGCCCTTTGAAGTTAGGATACTGTGTGTAATTGTTATAATATAGTTAGCCTAACTTTGACATTTTTTATTTTTCCCATCTTTTATGTCTGCAACCTTAGGCACAGATGCAGAAGGGATTTAAAGCTCTTATGTTTCTAGTGCCCTCTTTTACTTCTCTTTATGCTTTAAGTCTTTCAGAAGGAGCCTAAACTCCACAGGAGTTCTAGCAGCTGGCTTCTAAAGGCAGCTTTTGGTTTCGTTCATTTACCGAGCCCTTGCGATGTGCCAGGCGGTTCCAGGCAAACAGAAAGATGGGACCCTGCAGAGTCTGGCAGTATGAGCTTTTTGGGCTTCCATGAACAACATCACAATACTTCAGGTCTGGAATGCCTTATCTGAAGCAACAGGCCTTTGATGTTTTGTATTTCAGAAGTTCTCAGATTTCAGAAAGGTAATAGTGTACCTGCGGTGTTTGCTATTATGTAACACCCCACACAAGGCCGAGGAAGCACCCCATCACCAGACACACAGGTGACATTTCTATAGTGGGAACTACAGATACTCACAAAACAGCATCACTGATGACTCAGTAGCGGGGTCCTATGTGATGTCGCATAACGGGCCCTACAAGTTCTTTGGGTTTTCAGATCATTTTTGGAGCTTGGTGTTGTGGATAAGACATTGTGCTTCCTGATTTTAGCCAGAGGCTGTATTTTTCACAGCTGTAGCTGCCCTTCCCACTGTATATCGAAGACGTGAGAGGAAAGCAACAGGATTGTGCTAACCGTAGAAACGACTGCATAAAGCTTTGGCTGTGAGGTTGTGCAGTTTCTTCTCTACAAGGGGCCCTTGGTCCATCACTCAGGGCTTATTGATTTACTCTCACCCTGTTCTAATAATCTTGGTTACCTGATTTCTCAGATTACAGCAGATGAGAAATAGCATACTGGAGAAGACTCTTAGAGGCTCAGGCTGCCACAGATTATAACACATCTCACCCCAAGAGAGCAGGTTGCCCCTCTTTTTGTGGTTAGGACCTATCTGATAATCGATGCTTATGACGCTGGCTGAGTCTCATCCGAGTGTCACTATGTTCTGTGCAGGGGGGTCAAGCGTGGCACTGTGTTTCCCAAACTGTGTTCCATGAGTGGTTAACAAGTATTCACTGAAGGTGGGCAATTAAGTTTTAGAAACACGGTTTATACAGCACCCCCACCCCTTTGTGAACTTCAGAATACTCATTAGTCTATCCTACACTGCAAAGAACTTCCAAAGTTTTCTTGAACTTATTTTGACCGTAGCATTCTTTTTCTGGGGGACACCTCACCATCTTATGGAACAGTCTGGGAAACTTATATTTTAGAATTTTTCTATCAAGCCTAAAACCAAAACCAAACAAAAAAGCCCCCCAACCCCCACTCCCACTCCCCCGACCCCACCCAAGTACTTAAATTTGTCTTGTGGGAATGTTCTGCTTCTTGGTGATTGTCAAATAGTGGCCCATACAGCAGAACCTGTTTTTGTAGTGAGTTATGAAAAGTTACTCTTTGTAACGTGATTGTCATCTCTGCTTTTGGGCATTTTATTTAGTATGGTATGTTTGCTTGTAGGGCACTTGATGACATTAGTGAAAGCATCAAAGAACTTCAGTTTTACCGAAATAACATCTTCAAGAAAAAAACAGATGAAAAGAAGAGGAAAATCATAGAGAATGGGGAAAATGAGAAGACTGTGAGTTGATGCTGGTTCCTTGCTGCTGCCCATAGTTCTCTGGAAGCAACTTCGGGTGGTTTCTTTTGGTTCACGCCGATTGCTTGGCATCTGCTGCTTTCAGTTACCTTCCCTCTCCAGATTATTCACGCCCACAGCACCTGAAATACCATTTTCCTCCTAACATGCTGTTTACATTTATGACACAGCAGCTCCTTTGTAAGTACCAAGTCATGTCACTCCTTGGTACATACCCGCATTTGCTTTTAGGCCACTTCTTTTGTTTTAAAAGATAATAATAAAAAAATAAAGCTAGTTCTATTGAAATGCAAACTTTTTGTACCATCGATTCTTTAGTAGCTTAATCCTTGGAAAAAGTCGACTTCTCTTTCTGAAGTGGTATGACTAGTGTTCAAATTCTCTTGTGTTAAACAGGAACCTGTTCTGTTTTGGTTTACAAGTCCAGAGCAGAATAACAAGATTCAGAGAAGCAAATTTGGGCTCACCAGTTACAGGTTTCCCTCCATTATCTGTTTGGTAAGACTTGGGAGGCTGTTTGGGGGGTCTGGGAACACTGCTCTCACTAGCTTACATGGAGAGACATCTGAGTATTCCTAGACGCAAAAAATAACTGAACAAATCACACCAAACAGGACTAGACTACTTTTGGATAGAGAGGAAAGAAACCTGTGTAGGTATAGAACTAGCAGAGCCCAGAAACAGCTTCTCTTGACTACCTGCAGGAAATTCAGGTAAGTGGTCAGCCAGGATTCCTTTGGTAGTAACTGAGGCTGACGAATAGAGCAGTGTTTGGGTGGTCACTGCTGGGTTGTAGAATGCAAATAGCTGACTGCTCTAGGTCTAATGGCCCTTGAGAAAGGATTTCACTTTGTCTTAACTCCTGAGTTTTTGTACTTTAGAGCACAATATGAAGGTAAGCCCTAGCCAGAGGGAACGTCAGAGTCTACTTCTCACGTTGACAATTGCCTGCTTCAGAAATCAGACTTGGAGGTTAATTCTCAGCACTAGGAAGCTTCAGCAGCCACTGTGGCAAGGGTTCAATCCCCAGCCAGGGAGCTGACCCACATGGCACAGAAGACCTCGCCTGTCTCACCCACTGCTCCCCTCAGCAGTGTTTTTCAGTCAGTCTGCCTGTTCTGCTCTCTAGTCTGTCTCTGGTGAATCTTCTCACTCTCCCCACCAAGTCCCCTGTACCACTGACCTGCACCCCAGCTCTTGTATGCATAAATAAATAAAATAAATCTTAAAAAAAATCAGACTCTGGAAAGGCCCACTGGTGATCTGCCTTTCCAGAAGAACCTGTATTATAAGACCTCTGTGCTGATGTCACTTAGCACCCCTAACTATTGTGGCCCTACTGTGCACGTGGCAGCGTGATCCTTCTGTGTGAGACTTAACAGATAAGGAATCACTTGACTGGACCACAACTATCGCACAATTTTATTTACAAAATTGTTCTACAACAGCCTTACGAGTGAAGAGTTTAGCTTTTGGAAATGAGTAAATTAGGGCTCAAATTCACAAGTGTTGGAATTGTGAGTTGGTGAGCATGGAAGGCTGCTGACTTGTGACCTGGGCTCTTCATGCTTTCTGGAACGGCGTAGGTTTTAGCTCAGGCACCAACTTCAGGAAGACAGGGCTGTCTAGTGGATCTCTGGGTTCACAGCTCAGCTCTGTGACTTAATAAGTAGCTTTGGCAAATTAGTGAATCCTCATTTCTTTATAAAATGAAGGTGATGGTACCTACCTCAAAGTGTTGTTCGCACGGAGTTAAAACACTGCTTACATTGACCTGAGCTCAGTGCTTGGTACGCAGGAAGCACTTGGCAACGAGAGCTAATGCTTAATGGTAATGGATTGACTCAGTCCAGAATCCCTGGGAAATAATCTGGTGATCAATGAGTGCTGGCGACTAGGGCATCATCTTGGGTCATTGTCTACCTAATGCTGTGACCAACATGCTGGGGGCAGCTGAAAACTTCACACAGTGTAGACTTCACTTGGCTTCATGCTTTCAACTACAATCTGGCTAGACAGTCTATCTCCTTACTTGGCGCTCAGGAATGTACATTCTGATGTAAGGACTGAAATGAAACACTGGCGTTGAGAGGTTCACCAGAAGCAGATACTGCTCTTCCCGGCACAGGATGCCTGCCAACACAGTTGGCCCCATTCTGCTTTAGGTAAACCGTTGAAGCCCTACTGTCTAGGTTTCTTAATCATTTTAGCTCCTGGTGTTAATTTCAAAGCTTCACTCACATGAATGGCACCCTTAGTGACTTCACCCTCTGTTCTGCCTCTTCGTTATGTGGCAGAATTCCATCACCTAACGTAGCATGTGTTCATTTTTACTACAGTAGTTGGCAGAGTGCAGGATAAGCCAATGTGGCCTCAATCACGTCTGGATGAAGACATGATGGTTCAGAGATTAGCTCACTATTTATGAGTCTGCTTAAAAATAGGAAGTCTGTAGTGCTGTAGCTGATTTCACAGGGGATTCCTGAAGCTATGAAGTAATTTCTTGAACTGCAATGCAAATTGGTTTAAATATAGCCACAGCCTTAAAAAATGATCAGGATGTCTGTTCAGCACAGCTTGCTGTTCAGTGCTCCTGACGCCTTTTCATTGCGTGGGTCTTCTGTGTAATGACCCTGTAGGCTTTGTTTTAGGGTCACAAAGGCGTTGCCAATGCCTTATGCTCATAAGGTGAATGGGCTAGTCTTTTGCTCCAGTCTTCAGTCAGTTGGCATTGAGTGTTCCTGATAATCTCACCACTGTACTGAGCAAGAAAGACTCCTTTTCTTCAGCAATTTAGCCATAGGAGTTAGGAGTAGATGCTGAGACACTTGTGTTTTCTTACTAGCACTAATAAGTCTTCATTAATAAGCTTGCTGGCAAATAAATTGGGAAATTGGCGGTTACTTTTGGTAGAACTAGTGTTATATATAAATCTTACACATAAAGGGAAGCTTGTCATAATGTTCAAAGGCAATTTTCTTATTTGATATAATAATACTTTGCATGTAAGCCCCAGCATCCTGAAAAATTAATAAGTAGCAGGGACTTTGGAAAATTAGTTGTTGGTAGAATAAGCCATTTGTAGCAGATCGATGAGGGTGAAAGCTGTAAATTTTGCATTGATAAGGCAGATGCTTTTATGTTGTGGGTATTGATATATGCTATATATATATTGCTTGTCAAAATTAGTTGAATTTTAATTATTGAATAAGGTCTTTAATTTTATGTGGCTCTTAATAAAGCTGTAGTCATAGTGGTAATATGAGTGAATACTTCCTTCTTGGTTGAGTATTGTCTATTAAGCAGAGAAGTACTTGAGGTTTTATAAAGTGTAGCTAGATCTTAAATCTTTTCAACACACACACAAGGTCACTGATGTCAAGGTAAGTAGAAAAGTTATTTAGCTTAATGTGATGAACTTTTCAAAATATATATACATATATAAAGGTTGTGCACCATATATGTGTAGTTCTATATGTTAAAGATCTCAATAAAGCTTATAGATATGTAAGTGGATGTTTGTGTGTGTGTAAGTTGCTGAGAAAAAGTCATACAAATCTTCATTCTAGTAGAGTGCAGACAGATGTGTGATAATTACTTTCACAACTTGCTTGTTAAGTTGAATGCTTAGGAACTAAACAAGTGTATTTTTACACTTGAGTTTAAAATGCCACTGCTGTTCTGTGATATAGAAGACAAGAGTCTCTCTCTCTGGGAATCAACACTAGAAAATGAGAAGACAGGGGATGTTGAGCAAAAACATTCTTGTGCAAGTGAAAACCTACCCTGACCAGCACGCAGAACCCTTGGGGACCAGAGTAAGTAACTTGGGTGGTGTGATAACAGTGTGAATGCACTGATGCACTGAATTGTACGCTTACAAATGGCAAAAATGGTAAATTTTATGCAATGACATTATGCAATGACATCCTCCCTTTTCCTCCCCCCCCCCATCCCTCCCAAAATGCATGATTTGCCTTGACCCATTTTTGGAGTGATCCTATTTATGAGCAGTGTGCTGTGGGAGCCAGCCTAGAGGAGCTGAACCCTGGGGCCTTTGCTTGTGCCTTTGGGAAGAGTGACTGACTTCCCTTTGTTTCCTGATTTGCAATAACAGGAAGTGAACAATTTAGGGAGATTCTTTTATGTCAAGTCAAAGACATGGAAGGAATTGCAGCATTTTGTTTACAGTCAAAGGATATTTGAGAAGCTAATATCCTGTGGGACCATACAACTTCTTATCACCAAATGTAGCCATATGAGGTTGGGGGAGATGTTTCTGAGTTGAATGAGCTGTACTTGCTGGATGATACAGATAACAGGCCTATGCGAGACTGTTCTGGAATCCAGTTCCATTTTGCTTCTTGGGAAAAATGTTTCTACTTTGCATTCCATCTCCCCAGATCCCAGTTGAGATTGCACAGTAGAAGTTGCTGTTCAATTTGAGCCTGTATATACTTGCACTGTTCAAGTCGTGCATTTATTTTATATACCCATGCTCAGCTCCACCATCTAGGGGCTCCTAAAGTACTTTGTTTTACCCTCTGCCTTTGTTTTCTGTCTTTAAATCTTTTGTGAAATAGGTTGAGACGATTCACTCAATCATTTCATGTTCATATATAACACGCAGCAGAAAGCAATTTTGGTAGAACTGGAAAGTAGGACAGAGCTAAGGGGCAGTGGAGAAAAATCCTTCCCATCCCTAAAGTGAAATAAGAAGCAAAAGTTGCTCTTGTTCAAACTATTTATAAATGTGGGAGCTGCACTACATGCTTCTGGGGTCATCTCGTACTAGAAAGAGACTTCCTCTTCAGACTGTCAATCCTTGTTTTACACAGCTTTGGGTTTTA